TCTGATGGTTCTTTCCCAAGCCTTGGGTAGTTTCCTCTCATGCATGTGCCAATCAGTACTCTGCTGAATACCTGGGGAAACCCTCCACAGACCTCCAGGGTTCTGTCTCTTTGTGTAGCTCTCTCCTAGTGCGCTGTCCTACATACTCTAGCTGCTTTGGTTGCATTGTCTCCCAACATGTGGTGGTAGGTTCTTAAGTCTGATTGGTCAAGTGTAAGCCACATATGTCTAGAAGAGTTCAAGTCTAGCTCTTTACAAGAAAGAAAATAACCTCACTGACAGCTGATCAGGAACACACAAAGATCCCAAAATTTCTGATTATTTATTTTCTTTTGCAATTAAGTTTCATTTCAGTAGACACAGAGCCCATCTTGAATAGAGTTCAGGGATACCTTCCCTCTTCACTCCTTGTCCATAGTCCCTTCAGTCTTTTCCACCTCTCTGCCCCTCTTTAGGGTCTTGCTCCCTCTGGGGGAAGCCCAGAAGTTCTTGGGGGACCTGATAGGTCCTTTGTTCCTGACTCCATTCTGGAAGAGCAACGTCTGGTCGTTACAATTTCTTAGACATACATCCCTCACACTCTTCTGAGTGGAACATGAGCAAGACCAAAAAACCTTCCTTTTGCTGAGATGGACCAGGTCTCATAGGACAACTTTGGTGTATTTAACAAAGTCTTTGTTTCTTTACTCTGTCTCACCAAAGATTTTCTCATTCTGCACTGAAGAGTGCAAGGAAGAAGTGAGGAAAAATAAAATCCCCCTTCTGCCTCAGAGGTACTATTCTTCAAATTAAATAGATTAAATAGGTTTTGAAGGTCAGCCTAAAAAATTCACCAAAATTGATTTGGTGGGGGATACACCTACATTCCAAACAATAGCATTAGTTGGGGACTCTATAGAGAATGAATTGTAATATGAAAAACAAAACAAAAAAACCCATTGTATCTAGACCTACAGTGAAGTTAAAAGAGACCAATTCTCAAATTTTCAAAAAATTTTTAGTGTAGAAAAATTTTTATTTTTTTGTAGGCAAATTTATCAATCTTTTCTGATGAGTAACATTTGACTTTACTCTTTTTTGTTTCTCTCCCTTGCATCAAAAATTAAACTTCATGAGTCATATTCATATCAGTTCTTTAAAAAAATCAATGACCTGGAAGTCAGGAGACTTGAATAGCAATCCTAACCTTTGTCATTTACTTGTCATCTAGGACAAGTAATTTCATTTCACTAAGAGCAGTTTTCTTCAGTAAAAAGAAGACTTGATGATATAGAGAGATTCTTTGTGGTAGTTTCAAAATATGTCTACAAATTACTCAGTACTCCTCCCTTCAAGAGGTAGAACTTAATTTCTCTCTCATTGAATATGGTCTGGACTTAGTAACTTACTTCTAATGAATAGAAGAATATGGAAAAAGTGATGGTGTGTCACTTCCAAGCCTCAGTCATAAAAGGCGTTGCAGATTCCTCCTTGCTCTCCCTTGTTGTGATCCCTTGTTCTGAGGAAAACCATCTTCTATATCATGAAGATACTCAAACAGTCCTCTGGAGAGGCCCATGTGGCAAGGAACTGAGGCCTCCTGCCAACAGCCGATGAGGAACCGAGGCTTTCTACCATCAGCCATCTTGAAAATAGATCCTCCAGCCCTAGTCAAGCCTTTAGGTGACTGCAGCCCTGGCCAACTTGTAATCTCATGAGAGACTCTGAGTCAGAATTGCCCAGATAAGCTGCCCTTGAATTCTTGACCTTCAGAAACTATGGGATGATAAATGTCTGGTTTTTAAGCTGTCAAATTTTGGAGTAATTCATTAGCAGCAGTAGAAAACTAATATATCCTAGAACCTTACAGACCCCTTCAGTTTATGGTTCTACAATTTAAATGCAGGAGGATGTATCTCTAGTTGCCTATTGCTTTTACTAATACGTTACAAGCTGCTTTGGCTGTTATATTTAAAAACTCTTCCTTGAAGAGCCTGCATTCCATACAATAAAACATTTTAGGCAGAAAACTAAATAATACTTTAGAATAGAGATAGTTTTCAACTGGATATTTACTATTTTATATGTTTATACATAGCTTATATGTTTTAATAAGATGAAATCTTGGGAAATTTATCACCTTCCATAGAGTTCTAAAGCAGGAAAGGGCTCTTAGGTCCTTGGAGGGCCATCAGGGGCTATGTGGACCCCTTGACATTGTATGCCGTGTTGTGTTCAGAGCATTTTTTTAAGAAAGAATGTATGTAGCTTTTGCCAGATTTTCATGGAGTCTTGACACACTCACCCCCCCAAAAAAGAGTTCAAACCACTTATCTGGTTCTCATTCCCACCTGTGGGAATTTAGGTACAGAGAAGTAAGTGGCTTACCCATGGTTAGAGACAGACATCTTCTCACAGTTAACTCAGTGCTCAGACTCCAATCTGTGAGGTAAATTGCTACCTGCAAGAGGCAGCTCAGGGCAGAACAGATCTTTGCAACTCTCTCAAGTGCCCAGACCCTCAAGACAAACCTTTAGATTTATTATTTTGCTGTTGAATATCTTCTGTTCATTTAACTCATCAAACTGCTTCAGTAAGGGGGTAGAATGTATCTCACCCGAAAGACTCCCCCCGCTTGCTGGCAGCTCTTTTATCTTGGTTCCTTTCAATTTCATCCTTACATTGAAGTACATAGGAGCTCAGCCAAAGTGCTTTTTTACCATTGTACCTGCTAGAATCCAAAATTAATCCATGGAGGAAATACATTATATTTCTCTGACATGATTACTAAAGACCTATCACTTATATATTTCTTCAGTATTTTTTGAAACCTTCACCTTCACCTTTTTGCAGTACTGTTACCCATCTCTTTCTGAACTAGGCCAGATATGAATATTATCATCATAATAAATTAAGAGATTTGGGTTGAAGGACTAAAAATCAAAGTTAAATTCTATATTTATGTTACTTCAGGATACATTCTGCCTATTTAGAAATTAGAAATTGCTAAGAACCATCCTTAGATGCCTGAAAAACAAGTATAAATCCTTAATTGGAGAGGTAGAACATGTCTTGCATTCTTCTTATATCCTGCACAGTGCTGGTCATTCCTTAGGTTTTCTTTAAATACTTCATCACCAGTAGTGTTGAGGAGTCATCCTGAGCAAGCCTGGGCTGATTAAAGCCAAGAGAGCCCATGTTTTAAATAGCCAGGCCTAATGGAAAAAGTGTAGGAAGTCTTGGGTTTTTGTTTTTTTTGTTGTTTTTTTTTTTGTGAGGAAGATTAGCCCTGAGCTAACATCCGTTGCCAATCCTCCTCTTTTTGCTGAGGAAGATTGGCCCCTAGGCTAACATCCGTGCCCATCTTCCTCTACTTTATACGGGATGCTGCCACAGCATGGCTTGACAAGCAGTGCGTTGGTGCATGCCCAGGATCCGAACCTGCGAACCCCAGGCTGCCAAAGCAGAGCCCACACACTTAACTGCTATGCCACCAGGCTGGCCCCAGGAAGTCCTGGTTTTAACCTCTGACTTTTACACCTTAGCTTATCGACTTCAGCTTTCCCAAGACATTCACCCATAGAGATTTGCGTCTTAATTCCCACCATCCCCATGTACTCCAGGACACAGTCTTTTTGCTTTGGCCAAAGCCAAATCAGAGAAGCCATGACTGAAACTACAGTCCTGGAGAAACTGAGGCTGAGGAATCTGTGCTGACGCCATGAACTGCCCACACAGGCCTAACCCGACTCCAGGCTGTCCTCCCATTTAGCTCCAGGATACAGCTGCTCTGAACAGGTTTCTGGGCTTGGACAAATGACCTAGCATGGTCCTGGCCACAATTAGGGTTTCTGAGAGAGCACTGCCCCTCCTCTTCAAAGGTGAAAACAGACTCAGAGCCTTGGAAACATTCCCAGGATCTCCAAGTGCAAACGTTTCCAGCAAATTCAGCGTTATATCCTAACTTGTAAAACTATCTTGTAGCACAAAGATAAAGTTAAGTGACTCAAGTGCTAATTGAATATGTTTATTTTTCCATAAACAGAAAGATGTGGGAATATTTGGCAGAAGGAAGGGACATATTTTATATTTTGGTGATTTTTTAAAAAGGAAAAACAGCTCTATAAATATAAATAAATAAAAGTAATTCCAAAATAACAGATCAGCTTGTCAGTAATGGCAGGAAAATCCTTTGACAAGGAAATTAAGTTTATTTTTAAGCTTCCAAGGGGTTGAATTTAATTATAGATGGCAGCAAAGAGCAGAGAAAAGATCCTTGAAAGTTTTTAAAAGAAAAACTAAGGTAAAGTTTTCTAAAAGGATAGAATATTCAACAAGTTATATATTTTTTAATGGGGAGAAGAAAGAAGAAAGAAAATGAGAGGAAAACACCATTTTGGTGGTGTTCTTCAAATCTACTCAGAAACTCTTTCACCTGAAAGTATGGCAGTTCATTGAAATGAATAATTTAAGAAGACAAATGTGGTTTTGGTGATTGTATCAAGAAAACATCCTACTCCTCACCTCGAGGTAGAAGTGTGGCTCAGCAGACAGAATGAGTAGTGTTAGGCTATGATCACTTTTGTTATCTACGAGTTGCTTCAGATGTGACTTTTCAAAGCAGAGTCAAAATTTGTACAATGGGATTATGAATTATTTTTATAATAGTAATACCAACATTTAAAATGATAACTTTCACAAGGAGAACTATGTAAATTTCAGCTTTCTCAAAGGATTAGATACTTGGATTTTGCATGCAAAAGATGCCAAGTGTGCATTGAATATGAATTACAAAGCAATATTAAAAGGAAAGTGTACATAGCAGAAAATATGAAAGTAGGTAAGAGCCAATAAACATAAATTGTATATCTTTTACAACCTAGTACACTGTTATTGGTGCTCAAGAAATGTTTTTGATATTACTATTAAAAAACAAAGCATGTCAGTGGGCCCAGAGCAATTCTACTGTACTGAATCAAAGGATGACTAAAAATGCCTTATTTTGCTCTTTTATTTTGTAGGTATTATTACTTGGCATTCAGAGCACATCAAACACCTCTTGCTAGCAAAGAAAGCTGTGTTGCTATCTTGGAAAAGTCCAGACTAGATGACTGGGTGCTGGGGAAAACAAAGGTAATTCTTTCTTTATTGTTCAAATTGTCACCCGTGGTGCTCCGCTGCGTACCTTTGTCTCTTGTCAGTGATATGAATGGCTCTGTAAGTCATTTAGTTTAGCAGACAAGACCTCAACCTAACAATGATCTTTGTTGGTCTTGGGTCAGGAGTCCTGGGACCTCAGGGACCAGAGGAAGAGGGTTTGCCTCCTGTTCTGCTTGTAGTTTGAGAGCCATTTGGCATTTCTAGAATGAGATCTTTGAGCTCATTTTAAAATGTCCCTTTTTACAATGCTGCTTATTCCAGTACCATATGCAAATACACAAATCATATTAATGACAGTAGTGAGTATCTTTTACAATTTTACACATTTTTCATTAGACTTGTGTTGTGTTATTTACTGCATACCCTGGTTACTAGTCTCATCATGTGTAGCTTTTCATTGGGAGAACATCTCATCCCTGCAAGATCTCAGGTTTTTATGGTCCTTTCTGATTGCCCTACAAAGCCAGCCTTAGCCTGAGGGTTGATGGCGACACTGCTGAGACTTGGCAGAAATTAGACCACTGTGGACCATCCAGGTACCTCTCCCTCTGAACTTCTACTGTTGGCCACTGATAAGTTCTACTGGTTAGCACTTCCAACAGAGGCTTTGGGGAAAGAGCGTAGAGATCAAGCTGAGAAAATGGAACTCGTGGCAAAATGAGGCAAGCTTGGAGAACATTTGGGATCTCCTAAAACTCTGTTAACCTTATCATCCCTTTATAGCAGTAATCACAGATATGCTCAACCTTAGAAGGGGAATTATATTTGCTTCCAGGGAGTCAGTAATATTAGCATAAATCAAGTCACCGTAAACTTTATTTAGATAATGGTTTTAATATTTACATTAAGAATATGCTGGAGTAGAGTGAATTTCTGTTTGGGAGCCCAGATGTAATACTAAAACTAATGTTTCATTTCAGGTTTTTCTCAAATATTACCACGTGGAGCAGTTAAATTTGTTACTGCGAGAAGTCATGGGCAGAGTGGTTGTGCTGCAGGCATATGCCAAGGGGTGGCTTGGAGCCAAGAGATACAAAAGAGTCAGAGAGAAGAGAGAGAAGGGAGCTGTTGTCATCCAGTCAGGTAAATGGTCCTGAATCTTGGCATTTTGTTAAGTACTGGAGGCCACTCACCTGTTGCTTTTCTTGGTGGTTTCTTCTCTTCCTCTCTCCCTCCCTCCCTTCCCTTCTTTCTTCCTTTCTTCCTTGATTCAGCAAATATTTATCAAGTGCCTATGGCAGGTCAGGCCCTGTCCTAGGTGCTGGGGATGTAGCTGCAAGACCACCATGGTTCCTGACCTCCAGATAAGCAAACAAGCCATCACAATACACTGCAACGAGTGGCAAGATAGAGGCAGTATGAAGTGGATGGCTGTAAAACCCAAATCCATGCACCCCAGCTCCCAGGTGACCAACAATATACATTTCAGGTCCATTACCAGGTTTTCAGCATCAGAATCACTATTGTCTCTTCCAGAAGGCTCTTCTAGCCCAGACAGAGCTTGTTAACCAAGGGAACAAATCACTAGGCTCTCTTATATGCCCAGCCCAGTCAGTGCCTCTTTGCACACGTGTGTGTCATTTGTGTTACAAACAGCTTTTGCGCTCCTGTGATGAGTGGTTGTGAAAGTGCCAGATCTTGAACATAGCAGATGATTTCGTGTTCTCATAACCCGGAATCATCACGTCCACTCTGGACTTCACGCCCTCACTCAGCAGCATGGAGAGTTGTGATGTTTATGGGGGGAGCAAAAAGGAGAGGCGGTCATGCTCCTGGTGGGAAGCTTAATGCTCCAGTTCTGTTTCTAAAGGACTCAACACACCCCTGAGATTCCCTCTTTCTCTTCTCTCCGTCCATTTCCTTTGCCTTTCCCTGCCCATCGCTCATTCTCCTCTTTCCTCCCTTATCACAGTTCTTGGCACATGGTTCACCCTCAACAAATGCAAGTGTTGTGCTGGTAATGATTCCTTTGACTCCCCTCTTTATTTTTCTCTCCTTCAACATTCATGTTTACACCTTCCTCCCAAATAAAAGATATGGAATGGGCCAGGCTATTTCAGTTCCTTCTCACCCAAGTCCTGAAGATAGAGCTTCCTCGTTGGATTGGAATGACAGGGAACCAACCACCTCACCTGGGATAGGGATCCCAAGTGATGTGTAAGGGGAATCCAGAGTGTTCTGGAAACTCATTGCCTGAACAAAAATAACTCCTCAGAAGCATCTTGGAAGCCAAGCTGAGAGTACAGAGAGGCCCCTCTTCTCGATCATCACTCACGTATCTCTGCTTATTTTGTTCAGTGAGAAAGCAGGAGGGAGGAGGAGAGGGGTAGTAGGTTGGAGGGGAAACAGCTTATATCAATTCTCTGGCACGTTCCTAAATTAATGTCATTCCTAGCACATGGTTTTATATTTTTAGCCTGGAGAGGATATGATGCTCGGAGGAAATTTAAGAAAATAAGCAACAGAAGGAGTGAGTCTGCTGTTCATATTCAAGCAGGTAATTAAAACGTCATTTTCATAGTATCCACTTAGAAATATTCTGTGGGTAAGTTCATATGAGTTTGGAAAAGCTGAAAGGTTAATAAATCAGGAGCACTGAAATAGGAGTAAAGAGTTCTAGTGGGGAGTTCTAGTACATGTTCTGACACACCCCTTGTGTGAAGATGATGAGGCCAACAGTGAGCATTTGCTGCTTGCCATAATTGGCTAAGGATTCTCTCAGTTGGTACTCTTATATTGCCAATTTTATAGAGGTGGAAACCAAGGCACAGAGAAGTGAAGTAACTTGTCCATGATCACACTGCTAGTCAGTGGCAGAGCCGGCACTTCAACACAGGTAGTCTTGATACAGTGAACTTCACATATTGCTGACTAAACACATCCCTTTGCCTCTTAGAGTCACACCTCCCTCATCTGTGACATGAGAGCATTGGCTAAAAAGGTCTGGAAGCTGCCTCCTAACCTTGGAATTCTCCTTGGAATTCTTGGAGTCTAATGCAAGGCCCCTGTCTTAGCATCACAGAGATAGGAATAGCTCAAGGACTTTCCCAGCAAACTGAGTTTCCCACACCCAGGCCTGTGTGTGGCTAACGTGGTCCTCTGGGCCCCGCAGGGTGAGCACCAGGTGGCTCTTGTGGCTCAGCTTGGCCTTGGCTCCCAGAGGGCTGTGAACTCTGGTTCCTGGCTCATCCATCCCCTCCCTGACTCCTGGGTCACTCTGCTCTTCTGCAAATGGTGGTATCCACAGTGGGTGCCAGGGTAGGCTCCCTTGTCATTTGAAGCTGCATATGCGTAATTGAGGCTCTGGAAGAAACTGGCCTCAGAGCACGCCAGGAGCTCCAAGAGCACAAGAAATTGGAAACAGAATGAGAGAGAAATGGCCAGTCCAGTGGATTCAGCAGCAGGGAGAGGGATAGAGTTTCAGACACTGCTGCGCTTGAAGCACACTCTTCAATTAAACAGCTGCAACCTTTCTAGGAGGTCCCTGTCCAGAACCTGGCTCCAGGGACACTTCTCAGAACTCTCTTAGGTCACTGTATAGGCCTGACATCTTCATTCAAAACCAAAATATTTGGGAGGAAGGGGTGTCATTTAAATGCAAATGTTAACTTTTAATACCATCTCCTAGGAACTCTAAGCTCTACAACTTCAAAGAGTCAGGAACAAGCGTGCAATTCTAGTTGCAGCTTAAGAAAGACGACTCAAAGTGTTTGTTCCCTGCTTGCGCACCTCCCGACACACGCACTCTCGGCCCCCCATTAAGAGAAGAGACTGGACTGATTTCTGATCTTGTAGTTTGGCCCAAAGCCCAACATATGTTTTAAAATATAAACTTTGAGCTTATATATTATTGATCCACTGAGTCCAGTATATAGGATCATAAATCAAATTTTCCCTGTCTGAAAATCATCTTTAGAGAGCTCCCTCTGTTTGCACTCTGTTATGGCCAAGTGAATGCTGCATAAAAGCAGAAACAGGTCTGCTTCGTCATCACGATATCAGGGCAGTCATGACTGCATGTTTTCAGTGCAGCATCTATGCCATGGTACCATGGAAGGATAATTTTGTTTAGTGGAACCAGAGAAAACACATTTCTTTAAGGTGCTCCCGTTTTCTTTTCACTTTTGCAAGCACCCCACTTCGTTAGCCTGGCAGCCAGTGTTCCCGCTTATCAGGTGGCATCGAGAACTCCCATTAACCGAGTCTCCAGGGGCTTGGGCGAGCATGAAGACATTGAGCATAGTACTAAGGCCACCTCTCCCTCCTGGAAATAGTGTGTGGCAGCCAGAGAAAAAGCAGGCGGAGTGTCTGCCCTTCAGCCAACACCGTGGACAGGAATTGAGGTGCTGGTTTTGTGTTAGCAGTAAAGATGCACGGATAGGGTAATTTGCAATTTTATGGGCAGTTTACTTTTATTTGAGAATGTTTCTCTTGTCTTTAGATTTGAAGGCAAGATTGTGTTTATCTAAAAAGCAAAGCAACTCATTCCGATTCTCTATTTTGGGGTGTGCTCTTCCTAAAGCGTAATCCTCTTATTACAGGCTCCCCTTCATGCCACTAGGATGTTTCCAAGTGGAACAAGCCCCAGACAGCAGTTCCCTTATTTTTGAAGCCTGCAGGATGTGTCCTAGGGATGTTATCATAGCACAACCATTTCTGGTTGTTTTCTGAGTTATTCTCTAATTGATTATTTTTTCAACAAATTATTTCATTTGAAATTTAGACTCTATGGAATGCGTTTGTTTAGATTTCAAGTTCTGGCCCATAGTCTTTTTTTTTATGGTGTCGCTCAGATATGTTATATATTTTTAAAAGAGCAGCCCTTGAAATTTAGGAAGCATTTGGCCTACATGTTGCTACAGAGCAGCACATATTGAAATTTGTTTTCCTTTCATCTCCTTCCCAATAAAAGCAGCCACGCAGCTTATCCCTTTAGCTTCCTCAGAACTTCCTTTCAGAATTCCCGATCTATTACGGCACATTCACATACCAGAAACAAGATGCCTTTTCATGCTGTCAACGTTTTTCATCTGAAATGTAAATTAATTCTTGCTGGTATGCCTTGACAGAGATCAAAGTGGGGGTATTAACCTTCCTGGGCTTTCTCCGAGAATCCGTCTCCAGGACTGGGCTGCCGCTATTAGGAGGCCAGTGTCCCTGTTCTGGGGCCCTCCTCCAGGCAGCCCTTGGTCTAGGAGCCACCATTTCAAAGGCCTTTTGTAAATGACCTCATCATTACTTTAAACAAGGTGAGAAATGATCTGCCTGGCTAATTCTTGAAAGAGAGAGATGAGCCTGCTCATTTTAATTGTGGGCCCTTCGCTCAGATTCCCGGGTCTTGTTGAAGTGGTTCTGACAGCGAGTGATCTCGGTGTGATAGAGGGAGGGACAGGGCTCCAGATTGGAAACCTCTCCTCTTGCTCAGTGGGTCATTTCTTGCCTGTCAGTCTTTGAGGTAGGCCACATTTGCATTTTCAAAATAAACAGATGCCTTTCAAATACATGAGCTGGTGGTCTAGAGATCTCTGCGGGCCCAAACAGTTCACCAGCCAGTGATCAAATGCTGGAAGAGAAAACAAACGGAAAAAATACCCTAGGTACACGCGCATACATTTCCTATGTGTATACCATTGCGCCCCGCAATAAAGGGGCTTGATGAGACGTGGGGAGCTCAGGGAGAGAGAGCCAGGGATCCTGAGCAAAAGTATAGTTTATCAGTTTCCTTTTTGGGGAAAAACAACTTTGTCACCTTGGTGAGAAGTGGCATGTTTTGTTGTGTTTTTATTATTGGTTAATGCTGATAATAGGCTCTTGCCATGGGAAAACACACTCCTTTAAACACCAAAGAATTAAAAATGTGTACTTTTTTAATCAGAAAAATAAGATTGCACATATTAGTGTTCAGATAGATGGGATATTCTAAGTAAAAACTAACAACTTATATGTCTTCCGTTACTAATCTATTATTTTTTTAAATGAACTCTTAAGTTTCAGAAAGTGGGTGTAACTCGATTTATTTAATTAAAAATGCACAAAGTCCTCAGTAAATAATATCAAAACAAACAACTTGCAGGGAATTTTTAAAAGACCTACAATGGCTCATTCTTTAAGTTTTTTAAAGCATTGGCTTTAAAATTGTCCCTCTAATTCAAGATCTGGTTTTTAAATGAGAGCAAAGTGGTGGGCCTCCTGTCTCAGAGGGGAAATGCCTCAGGTAGGTGACAGTAGAGCCCTAGGGGCGAGAACGGAATTTCAAAGAGTATCTCCCAGGAGGAGCGCTCCTTCAGCCCCCTTCTTTTCTCATCCCCCTGCCCACCAGGAGCAGGAAGAGCCCATTGGTTTACAGCACATTTTCATCTAATTGCTTCTGTGCCGTGGAAATTGTTGTTCTCTCTTTCTCCCTGTCCTCTGATCAGCTTCCTGCTTACTCTCCCCTTGGCCCTTCCAAAAACACAGATGTTATCAGAAGATAAAAATAGTGCTAAAAACAATGGCCATTTCTCCTTCTGATGCCCTTTGGGGAAAGTGCTTTTCAGAGCATCTTCTGTGATTCTGCCAAGGCCCAGGGGACACCTTCCTTGAGCCTGTGAACAGGCATTTTAAACCAGCTGCAGCTGGAACCGCTGGGTGAATCTTGTGATGCCAGCAGAGGGGAGTTGCTTTAAATGCTGCATCCAGAGGGAAAAGCAAACAACTCATCCAGACAGGCTCTAGCACACTGGGACCCAGTTTCTGATAGCAACTTGACAGAGGCTATTTAACTTCTTTTAGAAGCCTGACCCTACATCATAACAGAACCAAGTTTTCAGTGTTTAAAACTGCCTGAACTTTTAAACCTCTCTCAGGGTAAGGCCTCCTCCTAGACTTTTCTAACTTTACAAGGCAGGTTCCTTTAGCACTGTTGGTGGGTTGGCAATGATAGGTAGTTGCAACAATTTCTTGGAATTAGATTTCCAGAAATATCCCTAGGTGTGTAGGACAATTATATTTTAAAGTAGGAGATTTCTTTCTTTCATTCACTTATTCAGCTACTATTTGTTAAGCACATATTTTATGCTGGGCTACCACGGTGAACAATTTTGAGCTTCAAATTTTCCATCTCCAATACAGAGAGCTGTAAAACATGCGCTCCCTCAGAGGGATGCTGTTTGTATACATTAGGGACTCTACGTTACGTCAACACTCATTGGAAGGGAGTTCTATAAAACTGTAGTGCAATACATAGAGTAAAAATCATTATAAAATATAGCTAAGGATATACATTGAAATGACTCATGCTTCTTGAAGGTAGAAATGATTACAGTAAATATTTTTCATTCTGATAATGAATGAAAAATTCATTCTGTGCATAAGCAAATTGCTGATCACTAGCCAAACAGTAGAGGGAGGTCAAGTGAACGTATCATTAAAGGAAAAGGTCCACTTTGAACAAACAGAAGGAAAACAAGCATGTCATCTCTCATTCCTTTCCACGTCTCTATTTGTCATTCTTTCTCC